GTCGAACTGATGATGGAGCTGGACTCCGAAACGTTTTCAATATCGATATGGTGAATTTTCTTGGCGTTTTCTTTGCTTTTAAATTCCTTAATAAAAAACTTGCTTGGAGGAGGACCGTTCCTAATGGAGGTGCAGACTAATATAACCAAAGCCACTTCTGATTACCTGACAGCAATTAATGCTCTGAAGCAAATGTAATTCTAGTTTAGAAACTTCTAGTGTAAGATATTCTCAAATGTTGCCAATAGTAAATAGAATTTTGATAACTAGATAAAACCTAAAAAGCATCTCCTTGTAGACTAATGTGAATAACAATCTGTGGCACTAACCTTATCTCAAATCTTCAATAAACGCACCCACTGGTGCATCCAGCAGCTCAAGTAGGGGCGCTCTGCGCAGATCAATTGACTAATGTAATGACTGCATTTGTGAAGGGTGCCTTTATTTGTCTGTCATGTATCCCCATCATCCTTTGCCTCTTCAGAACCCTGCCCATAGGAGATCCATCTTGTTTGCATACTTAAACTAGATATTACTTGTACAAGGCCTATTGGCCTCAAGAGGCTCCAGGTTGAGCTGCCCAGGCTGGACCCTTATCTAGCTGACTGGTTCTCATATGTGGCACAAGGTAGGGCATCCCCTAGATACTAACTGGGTTACACTAGCATCTACATTTGAATGTTTTCTATACCACTTTCAGTATAATAGAGTAGCACTTGTTTTATAATCATTATTATGTGATTTTGAAATATATTGACCCATATAATGCCCTCAGCAAAATATTCCCTTATTGATGATACTGGAACATACACCCTCGTTTTGAAATTGTTGATTAGCTATTGTTACAATGCCTGCATCGCTCTGTGCTGACAATCCTCTTCATGTGCCCACAGTTGCTGTGGCTACGTCTGCTGCCTGCAACATACGCCCGTACAGTTGTGGGGCTACATGGACAAGTCTTCAAAGCTCCAATAATCACCAATCACCACCACCACCACCTTAAGCAAAGTCTAAAGGTGCTTGTACACAGGGATAGTGCAGATGGCTAGTAAATCTGGCTAGTGTCGGTCGCTTGGTGACTATCCGGCTAGTAAGCCTGTACACACGAGGAGAGTATAAGGTGCCGCTATCTTCTCGTTTGCGCCCGCCAGTGAGTCGTTAGAAGCCGTCGAGTGAGGTCTGCGAAGATGGATAGTGTGATCACCTTCAACAACTCGAGTCTGTACGTCTTTTTTATACTCCATATACTAGCCTTTAAAAATACAGCGTTGGGAACAACTAAACCCTGACTAATAAGGTCTAATTTCCGTTTCAAAATACTCGTTTCTCCCTTCATTTTGTTGGAGTAACCATCATGGAAAACATTATAGCCTACTTTAATTCATATCTTTGGAATATTTCAAAAAATAATTGAATATCGTCTGGAATCCACTTAGTTTGTTTCTTCTTAGAAACATTATCGTTCAAACAAGCCATAATTCACTTGACCCAAGATACTTTGCAAGAGCGGCACAGATGCTCTCACCATGGCTGCATCAGCGCTACTAGCCACTTCTCCAGCCAAGATATCAACACATCGTTGTCCCGCTCGGCCGCATCTCGGGCACTTGCCGGCGCATGCCTCTGAAAGGGCTGAACCCCTATACATGAGGCTAGTAGCGTGGACAGTTCATGCGCCGGATGAACTAGCGGCTAGTACTATCCCTGTGTACAGGCACCTTAAGCAGGGGAGAAGGGAAAGTGTTGTTCTGAGCTGACCGTTGAAGGAGTAGGGTTACTGTGCTGAGCTCCCGCAACTGTGGCCGGTTGCAGTCAGTTGCCACGTCATTTTTCTCGAATTTTGAATATGGACGCTATGCACTTACTAGGTACTGCACGCACTTTGTAAATACGTTCGCGGCTCGTTAATGGCTTTTCGTGACCAAGATTATTATTGCGAGATATGGAATTCAAGGCTCGAAGAAATGAAATCACGGCTCTAAGAAATGGAATCACAGCAGGCAAATCCATAAAACCACGGCTTGAAAAATTCAGTTGCAGCTCGCCAAGTAGAAGTAGATATACCTAGTAACCTATTCCATGCCTGTTATTGGCATCCCTTGGTAAAAAATGGGCTGGATTCATGCAGCAGCGTGATTGGTTGAGAATTATAATTTGAAATTAAAAGGCTAGGTTTCAAGTCTTTAGGTCAGGAGTCTAAATTTCAGCCTGAAACAAGAAACATATTAAAAATTTACATTTCTGCCTGGATTTTAATGCTGTTAACATTGAGAAACTTCTAAGTATCTCTCATGCAAGAAATACTGGCTAAATAAATTTTAATTTAGAAATGAACATCACCTAAAATCTGAATAATCTGAGTGATCTAACTTGGAAGGAAGTCAAGGAACCCTAGGTTTTGGACTTTGGAAATTGGAATCGTTTTTCTTTATCAAAATTGAAATTTTTTAGCCAAGTATATTTTGTGTGAGAGATACTTTAAAATTTCTCAATGTTGACAGCATTAGAATCAATGCAGAAACATGAAGTTTTAATAGGGTTTAGCCTTTAGGCTGAAATTTAGGCCCCTGTTCAACTGGGGCTTTTAATTTCAAATCCAGAGGGCCTGGGTCCCACGCATAGTGACAAATCAGAGAGTTTTTCAGACTCCCTCAAGTTCATTTTTGAGTCGTATAAGTAGACCAGTAAAGTATCATGGATACCAGCATTATCATACTTAAGATATTGGTTTAAATCTTGAATAGGGTAAACGCGGTATATTCCGACGTCGTGGGTAATTCCGTCACCTCTCTAGTTTTTCCTTTATATTGAGCTTTGTTTTAGTTTCATGCGTTTGTTGATGGTTGAAATGGTGACGACGTGACGTCATACATTTGCGCGTCAAACTACTGCCAAAACACTAGGTCTTGGCCATCTACTTCTAGCAGGAAAATATTGAGATCCAAAGAGAGACAATGCAGTGGCACTGCATAGTGGCAAAGCAGAGAGTTTTTTAGACTCTCCTTCAAGTTCAATTTCAAGTCCTATAAGTAGACCAGAAAAGTATCATGGATACCACCATCATCATACATAAGACATTGGATTTAATGGCTTAAATCTTGGGTAAATGAGAAAATTAAAAATGAACTGATTCTAAAAAATCACTGGTTTGCCCTATGCAATGCACACTACCCAGTGAGATCATCAAAAAATGTGTCAAATTTGACAGTTGACCTTGCTCTACCAAATAGTGAATAACTGTTTGTACAAGAAGAATATTATGGTTTGAGACTTTTAAATACGTCTGTGAATATATTAGGAATCCTTTAAGTATACTTGTATTCGCTGATTTCAAGTGGTAAATAAATTAATAGATGATTAAGTTGAGAAATGGATTTAGACACATGAAAACTAATTCCGTCACAACTTGAATTGGACACACACA